ATAAGAAGCTGATGGCATATACCAAGATCCAGGTCTATAGAGCCTGTGTCCTGAGCACACTCCTGTACTGCAGTGAGTCCTGAACCCTTTGTGCATGGCAGGAGAGGAAGCTGAACACGTTCCATATGTGCTGTCTCTGATGCATTTTTGGTATCGTTTGGCAGGACAAAGTTCCAAATAGAGTAGTCCTAGAATGAGCTGGAATTTTTAGCATGTATACATTACTGAAACAGCGACGTCTATGTTGGCTTGGGTATGTCATGAAAATGGCTGATGGTTGGATTCCTAAAGATCTCCTGTATGGAGAATTAGTGCAGGGAGACCACAGTTGCAATACAAGGATATCTGCAAGGGGGATCTGAAGGCCTTAGGAAAGGACCTCAACAGATGGGAAATCTTGACATCTGAGCATTCAGCCTGTAGGCAGGTAGTGTATCATGGCCTCTCCTATTTTGAAGAGACTCTTGTCCAGCAGGCTGGCAAAGAGGCAGTCCCGAAACCAGCAAAACCAGGGAGCTGGACAGGGGACAGATTGTATTTGTCTTCAGTGTAGAAGGGATTGTCAAATTGGCCTTCTCAGCCACACTAGATGCTGTTCCAAGTCCTCCATACAGAGCACAGATATGAGTGGTTATCTATCTTGCTTGAAATATTACTTTGTATTAGATTTGATCAAGAACTGAGTCCTAAATGCTGAAAAAATGCACAAGAGAGATGAAAAACTTCTTTTTTCCTGGTCTGTTAATTTTACTGATTGACACTAATATCAAATAATCTTTTATGTTAAAAAGCTTCAAAATTCTGTTCCTTCAGGTGCTTAATGCAGACATTTGTACTCAGGCTTCACTTCTTAAGAATGCTGACGTTGTCATAATGAATAATGTCTTTGAATATTTCCTTGACAGATCAGAACAGGCCAGGTAAGTTCTGTGTCTGACAGATCAGCAATACCTTTTTGAGAACAAACTAGCCTTGCATGTACTAGTTAAATCTAGTCTTCAAATATAAACACAGTGGTGTTTTTAAAATGTACATTGGGAACGTTATGAGATATATTATTTGTTTCAGTTCTTTGCATGCAAAAAACATAAGGACAGCAGACTGCAATAATCCGCATTCCAGCAGCAGCTAGAATGATAACATCGCTGAAGGCAACTAGTCAATATTGCTTCTGTTAATGCAGTGACATGCAAAGATATTGGACCTTGTCTAATGGTGAAATCTATTTACCAAAATCCACAAATGGAAAACTGTTGTATTACAATCAGTTTGCATTTTTGTTTTTAGTTTTAAAAATTAAATTGAAGACCTTCTGGCAGACCTCAGCAATGTGAAATATCAATTGGTGGTACAATTAAAGTTGGGTACCTGTTTTTCATTCATTCCACTTTTTGGAGAAAAGTAATCTTTGCAAGAATGTTACTCTATTCTTAGATGCAGGGAATCAGAGATGGAGAGGAATAAGTAGTTTCTGATTGTTATAACTCAACCTTTGATTAAAGACGGGTGTTTTTGCATTAGGGATACAATAATACAAAAGCAGGAGGAACTCTTACTATCTAATCACTTCATAAATCTGGACTTGGGAATGATAATATGAGAGCTGAAGATTCAAACTCTGCTGCCCATAGAAACAAGAACCTCTCTTGTAACACTTAAATAGAGATGCCAGCGATATCTTCCTGAGTCCTCAAGAAACAAGAAATCTCTTGATGAAAATGGTGCCTATCATCCCTGAAGAGGAAGTTCTAATCAACAGGTACTTCACTGTGCCTGAAACTGAACAACAGTATGAGTCAGCCTTATAGCATCACAGGATTGTTTTATATAAATCTAATCAGAGGCTGATCTGACATATAAACATTACCAGAACTACAAACCCCACTCAGCACCTTTGGTATTTGTTAGCCTTCCATGCCTAGCAGATCCTGCTAAGTCTACTCTTGCAGGACAAGTGAATCTAACACAGCTAAGGTTTTCCAAAACAAAAAACAACATATTTTAAGCAAAGTTAACCTAAACACCTGGCTGAGAGCCACGTCTACTGATATGACTTTACCTCAAACTGCATTATATGCAGCACAAAACTGTATAGTTGATGATAAGCTCTTCGGTATAAGTTTTGTATCTGAAGAGCAGTCACCTTTATATCCACATGATGCAGCAACTGAGGTCTGGCATAGCAGTAATGAAAATAGATCTAAATTTATGGGAATAAGTCACCTCTTGTATTAGTGTTATGCCTGGAAGGGTCAAACATGATTGACTACCTTATTCTCTGCGTCCTAACAAATGCCTTATCAGAGTTACCTCCTGGTCCACTGTAGGATGGACTTCCAAACTGATAGACAAGGATTTCTGTTCCTAATCTGAAGTTCTTTGTATTCAGGAACCCTGGATTATTCCCATGGTTTTCTCTTATCTCCCTGGATATGCTGCTTATACTTTACCTGCTATCAAGTAGGAAAGTGGGGGGGGGGAGGGATTTATTCAATTTATATGCCATCCATCTGGTTACTAAGGCCGCTCTGGGTGGTTCATGCATGGGAAGACCTGGTAACTTTTATCTTAGTTGGTAAACATCCAAATGCTCTGCAGTGGGATGTGGTTTTTAGCAGCACCATCCTAATTCTACAGATGACTTGCCCAATAAGCTTTAGAATTTTCTTAATAAATACAGTATGTATTTCCAACCCCCCATAGAATTTAAGGCATGAAAGTAACATTATCTTAACTACACCAAGCCCTAACTGATCTATTTAAGGGGTGCACTGACCCTCCAGTTTTGCTAGCAGATTATATGAATGCCAGAATTGGGGGGGGGGACTATAAAATGGGAGATGAATTAGGATTTAGATATAAAGACTTAAATTATCTCCCTGTCAAAAATACTAAGGACTCGTCGATTAACAAAGCTGGACAATCTTTCTTTGACCTCATTTACAAATTCCATCCAAGCCTGTGTACATTTATTGGATCAGGAGACAAACATGTGCCATCATGCCAGTTCTGACCTATGGTGACACTTTTCAGGGTTTTCCAGTACAGAATACTCAAGAGTAGTTTACCATTTCCTTCTTCTGGGGCACCTTGAGACTGTGCAGCTTACCCAAGGCCACACAGGCTAGCTCTTTTGGGATGTGCAGTGGGGAATTTAATTCCCAACCTTATAGCATTGCAGCTAGATACCTAAACTCAGTGAATTATTCAGCAAACTAAAAATGTGATAGATTACATTATTCACTGCCTTCAAAAATGTAAACGTTTTTACTAGACCTGTGAAGGAACCATATGCCAATTCAATTATTTCTCTCTCTTTTTCTACTAATTAAAAAAAGAATCAGTAATGATGGCACCCAAAGAGAATCTGATAGTCCAAGGAGAGAAAAGTTTGTTTTGGACTAAAAACTTAAAAGAATAGATAAACTCATTTCTAATGTTCTCTAGGTTGCTATCCTTGAGCAAATGATTTTTTTTACCTCTCTAGATACTGTACTTTGGAATTTTTTGGAAAAGGTTTTCAAGTAATTAGACCTCTAATGGTCACTTTTAAGTCTGCCTGCACAGGCACACAAAGCTCTCAAGACTGCTTTGATGCTCAGTGTGGCACTCAGATAGGTATCCCGACATGAACAATAAGGAAACTGAGGCAGAAGGACTCACTAGAAAATTGCTCTTATATCTGACTATGGAGAAAGAAAGAAAAAAAATTACTGTGGCGGGAAAGTGGGGAATACAAATTATAATTTGTATTAAGATTATCTACTGATTCACACTTTGCATTGAGCCTTTTTTTAAAGAGATGATTTAATATAATTGTTAGAACAGAGTAATCATATAACTTTGTTCAGTGTAGTTCTTTTATTGGAAGTTCTTATACTACATAACTGATATCATAAGATTGCCTTCAACCATTGATTCATTTTAGGCATCACCGTTGTTTTTAGATTTTAATTCTTTTAAAATCAATTTTAGTGTTTGGGCAAGAGCTTTTTTGCAAAGTATGATTTGTTCTTCTACTTTCAAAGGGGTTAGCTACTTTGATTTTATTGTTAAAACAGTTGTATCCTTAAGCCAATACATTAAAAACAGGTTCTTTAAAACGATGTAATCAGTCTTAGAGGAAAATACCGGCTGAGGTCTCACAAGAGCAAACAAAAGAAGACTGTGCTTTGCTGTATCATGTTGTGTTGTCATAGGCAAGGCACTTCTGTAAGGCTTGCTTCATGAGAAATCTGAACACGCTTTATTCTAGATGCTGGAAATTCATCAGTGAAAATGTAAGAAAGAAAGGATCTTTATTAGTGACAGTACCAAGTCTTGAAAAATCTCTTTCAGAACTTCAGGTAAGGTAGCTGTTTTTCAAACTTTTAAAATATCATTATTAATCCAATGTATGAGGGTAAAATTAACAGATTTATTCAAAAGATAAGAGCCAATTCGTAGTATTAATGACTCTTCTTTGTAGTTTCTGTGAATCAGACATTTGGGATTGTCCTGTGCCTGCATGGAGACGTTCAGAACATTCTGCTAGCAGGTTCACATAGAAGTTAACACATGGAGATGCCACCTCAATTGAAACAAATTATCCTAGAGGCTAGAAACCAATCCATCAGATGTAACTACAAATATACATGGATTAAACTTTTACACTTCACTAGGTCAGTACAGAAGCCTCCCACGCTACATTCCTTATTGCATTTTTCTCTACAGCTGAAGCAAAGCAGTATATCCCACTCTTAATTAAAAGTTTACTTGTTGGCCATTGTAGCACATCAACCTTAAAGGTCTGGTGCCTCTTCTTTCTTCAGATATATAACTCTTTTAAAAGGACTTAAGGAACAGTTACCCAAATGTTCAACACCTGCCACAATGATTTGTTACTTTAGTACATAATTAGCTCATAAAATTACTATTTGAACCTATGGCAACTTCCAATCTTAAATTTATATCCTACAAGACAGTGTTTTTAGTCACAGACACATCAGTATAAAGTGTTATTGAGCTGTGTGCTTTTTGATGCAACCCACCTTTTCCGCAGTTCTATAAAGACAAGGAGATAACCTCGAGGCAAAATCCGGAGCTGGAGTCCCGGAGGCACTTTGTGTCCCTCTGCCAACTCCTGCGACGTTGCTGGAACCAGTTGTATTGGCTCTTGCCTCTCCACTGGACCATTTCAGCGACGTGGAGAGGGGGGATTTGCTGCTTGGGTAACAGCCTATCCTCCGTATTATTTTACCCAGGCTTCGTGCTCTGGAGAGGACACTCCAGCTTCGCATACAGCGTCGAAACAACACGGGAAGTAGCAGTT